AGAATCGCATTTTTGTGTAATCTCGATGTCTGCAATATAGAATCTTGATTCCAAACAACATGGATTCGCAATTCCTAAAAATTTGGAATCAACATTTTGCACAAGCAAAATCGTATTGTTGTGTAGCTAAGAATACCTGAAATCTTTTAATAAGATTTGCCTTTCTGTCCCAAAAAATACACTAGCATATCAAACAATTTTTTTTTTTGGTTGTTAGCATGATGGACATTCATTCCCTCGATAAAACGCTATCTATGAGCATTCTTAGGACCCTAAATTTTGGAGATGTAACCTGCTCAGCCTAGAAATCAGTTTTCGAAAAATAAAAAAATAGAAAAATCACAGGCACTCTATAAGTGCTTGGAAAAAGTAACGTCTTACTATTGAACAAAGACCGTTCAATTTTTGGATGACCAAATCTAAGTATTTAGGAACTTAGAATCCAAATGTTTTTCTTTTCGGGAGTAGCCATCTAGCAAATCAATTGTAGATCCCAAAAGTTCACACTAAGTAAACCTTCTTAAGTACTAAGCAGCTTGCACTCAAGGGAGTAAATGTACAATATGCTCCTGTGGAAGCAGCTCCACAAATAAATTTACTCTCATGACCAAAAATGGTTGGGCGCTTGTAAGTCTCAAGTATCATATACTCACCCAAAAACATTCATTTAGATCGTTACACTTCGAAGTTTTCAATTTGAGTTGTCTTTTTCACCATTTTGCCTAAAGGGAAGGGCAGTGGCAAGAGTATCCACAAATCTATGAAAGACCAATATACAAATATAATGATAATGATAATACGGTAGAGAAGATAAATAAAGAAATAAGAGTTGCAACAAGCATACATATGAAGAAAAATATGATATATGAAAGAAAAACATACAAAATATATAAGAAAAGATATGAAGGAGAAGATAGATAAAAGAACAAGGGTAGCAACGAGCATATATAAAAACAATATATCAAGGAGAAGAGTACCACAGCAGGAAGTACTACACAGTATACGTGTGAGAGAGCTCGTGTTAATTGTTTGGGGGGGTGGAAGGGGAGTGGCAGAGTACTTGAAAGAGAAATAGGAGCTCAAAAATTTAAGTGCTCGTATGCATGAGAGAAAAAGAGAGAGATCACAATGGGAGAATAAAAACAGCTCAAAATTTTAAAGGACATAAGAGAGAGAGCTCATGTGTATAACATAGAGATAATAGTTGGGAGAGAGAATGGAGCTCAAATATTTAAAGGACATGAGAGAAAGAGCTCATGTATATTATAAAAGGAGAAATTTTAGTCTTATATTGCCTAAGTAGTTAAATGGGGTGGGGTGGATGTGGCTAAATAAGGAGAATGGTTATTAAAGCTTAGCCCCATATTGCTTACATAGTGAAATAGGTGGGTGGATGAGTCTATAAAAGAAGAGTAGTTAGAGAGAGTGCATCATATTATAATGTACAGTGTCATATAATAGAGAAATTATCAAAAATATACCTTTTTTTTTTATTATTGAAAATAAACCCCTTTCCAAAACCTCATCCATACCCCTTTTATCCACTTTTTGTGTTTTTTACCAAAGTGGAAGTGGCCTTCACAGTAGTCTTAGATCCGTGAGGACATCACGGTGGACTCAATACCATGATGTTCATGGGGGGTTCAAGGTTTTGAGGCATCACGGCTATTTAAGTGCCGTGATGGCCATTAAGAGGCATCACGACACTTAAACATTTGTGATGGTCGTTAAGGGTTCGTATGCCCCCGTTAGGTAAGAGTATAACGGTTAAATTAGAAATCTTATAGTCCAATAAACCATTATGGTTCATTAAGTGCCTTAATGCTTCAAAACTATATTTGACTTACAACCTGCCATGACCATCACGGTTTTCAATCGACCGTGATGCCTTCACGGTTCTAAGACTATTGTAAACGCGATTTTCGTCAACTTACCCAAAAAAGGGGTATGGATAAGGCTTTGGAAAATTTGGGATTTATTTTCAATAATCTAAAAAAAAGTATATTTTCGATAATTTCCCTATATATTATTATATAAAAATAAAATATAAAAAAAAATATGTAATGTATTATCTATTTTGCATTTCTTGGAGTGTAAGTGTAGTTTATGACTGTAAAGTGGCCACAATCCTCGCCATCCTAATTCTTCAAATAAAAAAATTATTAAAATGAAGCCCCAAATTCTATATACATAAAAGAAAACGTCGTTTAATTATTTGTTTATCTATAGCACTTGCATAGCCACATCACCTTGTGCAAATTAGACATCAGATAGCCACGGCAAAAACGCTACCCTTTCTTTATCAAAGGTTAAAGTGGTAAAAGGGAATTTATGTCAATAATCTCAATACATTTGCTTCTAATTCTAGGTCTTGTCTTAAAGGAATCTCTAAACCCACATTGGTTGAACCAATGTCTAAGAACCTTCGAATATGATTCTAGGGAATCTGGATCTCCTGTAACTCATAATCTAATCCCTTATAGAAGGATCAAGATTCCAAAGTTCAAAAATCGAGTAGTAGCATGATTCCCCTCCTTGAAGTGCAGAAGCGAGACTTCGAAGAGAAATCGACCCCTTGATTGGGCAATCTCAATAACCATGGATTGCCCCAATCAGGTGAACAAGTGACAATTTAGAGGTTACCAGTCAAGAAATCAATTGAATAGGTTGCAATGTGGAACAAACAATAATTAATGGCAAGGAAGGGCTGCATATAAACCACACATACACATATATGCAATAATAATAATAATAACAATAATAATAATAACTTGCACAGACTCCCAGGGGAACGCTTTGTAACTTCCCTAGTAGGGCAGCCTTTGCGACATTCAAAGGCATAAAGCAACCACCCAATTCTAACTCCCTTGGTACTTATCCCAAGATCTAGGGTACTTCACCAACAACTTTGAGTCGCAAAACTTAGGTAACTCTTCCAAATTCTATAAAAAATTGAAAAAAATAGCAATAAAAAGTTGGAAAAAATATAGGTGCCAATGGTGGGATTCGAACACAAGTGACTTGACAAGTCGTACTGCAATTTCACTAAATGCTATATTATATCTACATGACAAAATAACACAATTTATTTATAGAAAAACTAATTACATTCGAGTTTTTGAGTTATATAAATTGGGAACTTGCCAAGTCGACTCGGTGAGTTTGTCCAAGTTGGCAAGAAGGTTTTTAATCGCGGGACTGATTACGAGTGTTATTGAACACACGTGCGAGGCTGTATAATACACATCGTCTGGCATCATGTATTTCTGCGTAATCTCAATTTCCTGATGTTTGAGAAAACAAGAGAAGATTTGGGCACCTCAAACAATCTCAATTTCCTCATGTTCGGTTAAATAAAGATAACTTTCAGGCTTCTCAAACAATCCACTTCTAAGATAAGAGATGGCCAGCACTATTCAAAAGGCAACAACTTCCAGCATCATGGAGAAGGCATTGCATTAATTGCCAAAAAAGAGGCCCTACCACTCCACAGGGGCCATGTGATGGATGATGTCAGTTCAAACTTTGGGGAAAATGCTGACAATAGTTAGGGTAGCTAAAAAAGATGGAGTAGTTGCCATGCACCCCCAGCACAAAAGTAGTACCAAGAGATGCTAAAGGTCTGTTTTGCACAAGTAACTTCATAAAGATTTAAGTCTAATTCACAAATTCATTACAAACAGTATGATCAGTTCAAATTTCTTTTGATGCTCATGATTTGCCTCCATAGGGAGGAAAAGAAAAGGAAGGACCAAATAGTATTGGACAAGAAATGGAGACGTTTTTGTAGTTGGATGATAACAACAAAGTTGATGATCCTAGGTGCATACATCATCAGGAGGATGGGTATCTCAAGTCACGAGTAGCAATCAATAGTCATCATTTTAGGATACTTAATATTGGTTTGTTAAGAAATACCAATATTCACATACGTTAATAGTGTCTAAGACAGATTACAATATGAAATTGGTTCAGATAATTAGCAATGAGATTGCCAATGCTCTTGTGCTATCCCTTCACCTTCCCTTTCTTTATTCATCATGAGCACCATTACCTTCCACTAGAGCTATTAATGATCTATCTCATATTCTATTGTATTCTCCATGAGTAAAACAACAAATCTCTCAGAAACTTGCTTGCTTGATTCCCACTCACTTGGGCTATGAGTGGTTCATTATTATCTGATCAAAGTACTATCCAAAACTGAAATTTGTTATTAGGTTGCCATATTTTTTCTACAAGGAAGCAGTGACCAGGTTCTTAAGATAGTGCAAGCCCCAAAATAGTGTTTAAAGAAAAGGATTGAGGATCCAAATGGGTTCCTCGCTGGACAGAATTGTATTGCAATTCCTATCTGGATCACGCGAATCAGGGTGATCTGGCAGAAAAATATATAAAATAATAAAAGTTAAAAAAAAAAAAAATGGAACATTTAACTTTAAAAGAAAAGGTATACGGAGAATTGGCGGATCCTTTTTTTTCCCTGAAGAAACAGGGAATCGGTGACTCTACACTTCGAATCACCTTGTTCTCTGACATAACCAGGTGATTCGTCTGATATCGGGTTGAGTCCAAGAATTGTAAGGAAACCTGGACAGTCCCCTGGAGATCCCAACTCAGATAGGGCAATTTTGATCCAGATCAGCAATTTTTAAACATTGCCCTAAAATGTAATTTGCAAGAGAAGACAATAAAGTGTCATTCATTCTATATTTAAATATTTAAAGAAAAGGCACCAACAAAGAGATGCAATATGATATTCTGAATTATTCATAAGAGATACAGAGCAGTATGATTGATGAAATACATTTGAAATGCATTGCAGGAAGAACAATGAACAGTGCTTCTCTTGTAAACGAAACAGTCATATATTCAGAGACTTATAATATAAAGAGCAGAATATCAATATGTTCATATACAAAAGAAATCAAACTCAAGCCATACATGCACCAACAAAAGACGATAACCAGACTACCAATATTAGGATCTGAAGTGTTTACCTCTTCTATCTTTGATAGAAGACTGGCATTGTCACTTTTCATTGCATCTTGTTGTAAAAATTTCTCATGCAACTGTTTCTGAAGAGCAACAAACTCTTCATACTTCTTCTTGCCATTTTTCTTGGAGTCATCACCAAATGCCAGAAGTGCAGGTTTCAGTGTTGATTTGTAATCAATGCCCAAAACCTCAGCAAGTGATGATCCACTAGTATTAAGCATGAACTTCAAATCATTTCCAATCTTTAACCTGATAACCAAGACAAATAACAAGCAAACCCATCACACCAATTCCCTTCAAATCAGGATGAACAAACAACAGAAACAAAGTTACCCAGATGACAAGATTGGACTAAATGCAATGTGTTCACTTTTTTAAGTGAATGATCATCAAAATGAAAGCATACACAAAAGAGTTAAGCTAACAGGAATCAAGCAAAACTGTAACAAATAGATGACAAGGATTCTCAAGATCACCCACTAATAAATATAAAGACTCTCTCCATTCACTCCCTAGTTAGCTAAAATCCTAAAACATCAATAGCCATGTTCTCCTCACAGGGTACATAGATAAAGGCAAATTATAAGACACATTTAACAAAAACACTTGTCAAAGATGGCTCCTTTGAGAAGTGACTTTCATCTTGTAGAAAAAGAATGAAAAACTTAAAGACATGATTTCTGTCCACCGAGATTCTTAGAAAAGGACAGAATCAAAATACTCACTTCAATGTAAAAATAAATATCAGGGAAACTACAGTTGTTACCGTTGTAGACTGAAATTAAAAGGCATGTTGGTTTATCAACATACATACTTAACAATAGAAGAAAAACAGTCAAAATACTTACCCATAACAGAATAATAACCCAGGAAGTTCTTGCAACAGAATAACAATTAATTGAAGAAGAGATGAAAGAAAAATCATAGAAGATCATCACTAATTCCAACTGGCCCCAAACAAATCAATATTTTAAACAAATAGCTAGAGATAATGCATTTTATCGGAAAATTCCTTTACAGCATGTCATTGTGGCCCACACAGTAATTGTGACCCCACTGATTATGGTAAGCACTCAATGTTCGATAACCTCAAGGATGGAAGGATGAAAAATGCCTTGAATGTCTTCTGTATGAAGCACCAAGCAAGAAATAGTAAGCCTTTCTGGTTGATTAAGGGTTAGCCACATCCTAGCGATATAACCATTGTGAAAAAAAGGGATATATGTAGAAAGGATTGCCTACGGACTAAAAGGCACAATTTCAGACTCCAAAGTTAACATATTTACATTATTGTTTGGGTACTGATACTTGTGCCGGTGTGTAAATAGAATATTTTCCAACAAAATGGCCAAAACAACTGCTGATAAAATGGCATCATGCACCTTTCAGATATTTTTAGTAATGTCTATGACCTTCCAAGAGAGTTTTCTTCACTCAACCCTAGTAATACTAGTAACCAGGTGTTCCTAATGAGGTCCCTTTTACCACCAAAAGTACTTAGCCAGGGGATTCTGATGTTTCATAATAGTGACAACGCTTCATAACAGTGAATATGATTCCATGGGATGTTCACTGGGGAAGTTAACTAAAATTCCATTCAATATGCATATATAATGCATTATTAGATAGTAATATATGACTGACATGAACTTTCAAGTTTCTATTATTTTGATTAATTCTTGTTCTTTATAAAAGCAGAGAATATATGCTTTACACCAAAAACACAGAATCAGTTTTGAGCAACAACAGCAAAGTGAGAGAAACTGATCTAAAGGAAAGTGACTAGACATCCTAGGAACTGTCTTACATGTGGTGTAGAAATCTAAAGAAATCATAAAAAGAAGCATTCAAATTCTCAAACCCATCAACCACAATACTGAAAAAAGATGTCAAAATTTGCAATATCATGGTTTACGGACCTGCATGTTAAGAGCATGGGAAACCACAAAGAACCCCTTTTCCAAGAGAAATCATAGAATTAATTAGACTAACTTGGATTTTGAAACCATAGCATTAATGCTTTGCTACTCGAGCTACAGTAATAGCAAAAAAAAATGCAACACTAAAAAGAGAAAAAAAAAACAAAATCATTTTGAATATTGAAATAAGGCCCAACCCTTCACTAACCCAACAAAGTCATTTTGAATATTGAAATAAGGCCCAAACCTTCACTAACCGAACAAAAGGGATATTGTAGAAGAGACTGGTATGATAGATCGGCATGGATGCCTATTGAAACGATAGTTTCTTCACAAACTCCACGAATGTGAGTAGCGTGTAGATTAGTGACACAGAGTGAAGAAACATGGAGGGAAGCAATAGCAATGTTGCTTGCAATAAATAAATAGAGAGAAACAACATAATTGTTACTCATCAAAAATAAATAGAGAGAATAAATGAAAAGCAAGCAGCAATTTTAAGAAAAGGATTCGAATCATGATAAAAAATTCGGCCGATTCCACTAGGACTCAGCCGAGCTCAGCCCCTTGACGAGTAGAGTACATGTCTTGGGAGTTGGGGCACTAAAAAACATTAAAAGTGCATTAAAATGTGCAATTAATGTATAAATATTTCATATCGTAATTTGAAATTTTTTCTTTTATGGTGATGAGTTTTTCTTGTCATATGCATTATTTTAAAACTTCTTCTTTTTTTTGGATTTTTTGAAATGTCTCCACCTACAAAGCAATTATTTTTCTAAATACATGTTTTATATTATTTTCTTCTTATTTGGAATTTTTATATTGTTTAAAGTTTTTTTTTTAAGCTTTGTTATATTTTATATTTTAGTTTAATTTTTACCGCTTTTATTTTATTTTTAACAAATTATTTGGTTTTTTTTTTTTTTAGGGCTTTTTGTGGCCACGTACACTACTCGGTGGGTGAAACCACTTGGACACATCATGTTATAAAACCCAATTTCCAAGGCCGAGATTTGTTAAACCTTGAATCAAATTCTTGTAGCATAAGTACCATGTTGACATTTTTTTTTTTTTGAAACTGGAGTACCATGTTGCCATTGTTGACTGAAAATAAGGGAGGGGAGGAGCTGGAGATATGGAAATCCAGAAGAAAAGCTCTGATCAGGGATTGATTCCTTGTCCAATGGTACTCAGGAGAGAGAGAGAGAGAGGAGGTGGTGTTACAGGAAATTACCAAGAAACCTTGATATCAGAGATCCAAGTTGCCAAGTTACTGAGTTTCACTAGCCATTGCCCCCAGTATGTGTGCATGTGTGTGTGTGTGTGTGTGTGAGAGAGAGAGAGAGAGAGAGTGTGTGTAAAACAAGACATTAAGAGAAAAAGCTGTAGCATCACTTTATCAGATAACTTCAAAAAACAAGTATTTCAAATAAATAACAAGAAAGGGAAGTATGATCATTCTCACATTCTCATCTTCTCCGTTGTTGATCAAGCACTAGCAATGGGAATAAGTCACACACAGTAGGATCAGGAAAAAAAGAGAGAGGGAGAGTAGATTAAGGATAGGTGAGAAGATGGAAATAGAGAGAGCAGATAGGTGAGAAGATGGAAATAGAGAGAGCAGATAGGTGAGAAGAGAGAGAAAGAAACTCTTGTACCTTTCAATGGCCTCGTTACAATCCCCAACTAATCCAATCATCTCCTTAACCGCCTTCTCTACCTCCTTCTCCATATCCCACACCTTATCCTCCCACGACCCCCTGGCCAACTCTGCCTCCGCAATGTCCCTCTCCACTGCCTGCAGCTCCCTCCCCATCCGCTCCACGTCCCTCACACTCATTGCCTGACCCTCCACATCTCTCCTCAGCCCCTCATTCTCCTCCCTCACTCTCCTGCTTTCCCCCTCCACCTCCCTCAACTTCTCTCTCCTCTCCTCAATCCCCTTCTCCAGTGCCCCAATCTTCTCCAAATAGCTCTCCACGTACGTCTCAAACTTATTCACATCCCCCCTAAACGACGCCTTTTCTCTCTCTAACTCCTCTATTTTTGAAGGCCTGGATCGTAAAGCAGCTATCTGCTCCTCCGCCTCCTCTAGCTCGCCCTTACGCTCACGCACCAGAGCCGCCGCACTCTCACTCTCCTCCTCGACTTTCCTTAAGTACTCTTTGTCCAGTGCATTGACTGCATCCTCATCTCCCTTCATGAAGTGGTCATAGCTAAGTGCAGTGTAGACGAGGAGCTCATTGAGGCCATGTGAGTTCGAGGAGATGTGGTCCTTGTATTTGATGGCCTGAACAAGCCAATGCATAGAGGCAAGGAGAACAGGCCACAAGTGAGGGGAAGCAGGTGCTTTTAGATTGCTCCTGCTTAGTTTGAGGGGGCATCCAAGGTGGTGGAGGAGAGGGAGGAGGTCTTGGTCGAGATGCGAGAGATTGAAGTCAAGGCGACTGGAGAGGAAACGAAAGGTGTCGGTAATTTCGAGGGCGGAGGGTCGGTGTCTTAAGGGGGGCCGGTGAGGAGAAAGATAGTCATTGAGGGAGCGGAGGGCAGCAGCTTGGTACGATCGGTCATTGACAAATGGGAAGGGGTCTTGGGACCCGCCGATAGCGCTGCCATAGCTACTGGTGGATGAGCGGCGTGGGGCGTGGCGGAAAGGGGGATCAGGTGGCAAGGGAGGGTCAGCCATGGATTTGCGGGTCAACCTGTTCATAGGGGGTGGCGCCATGCTGGTCCTCTTCTTCATCTAGTCTTCACGTTGGTTTTCACCTGTTTGGCAATGGGAAAGCTGGAAATTGAATGTAATACTGTTAATTATGTATTTCATTGATATATGTGCGAATTGCAATCTTTTAATAACATTTTGTAATTAAATAAGGTTCCTTCCATTCATCCAATATAATTCCAAGCATGTAAATAGATTCAAGGGATACTTTTGTGCTTGAAGATTTCATAAAAGTGTGAACCCCCTCTGATGCAATCAATATTTACATAAATAATCAAAATATTACAAAGAGAACTTAATTAATCAAAATTTTAATGTACCATTAACAATATATTGTTAGTTTCATATGGTTACTCGCAATTAACTATCAAAAGATATAAGTACATCTACTTGTGAAAATGGCTTCTTCAACACAAATTTATAGGATATTAAAAGAGGACATGATATTACAAAATAAATAAAAAATGATATGATTATAGCATTTGGAGCCCACACCATTTTCATTCCAAAATGTTATGTTAGCTCCCTTTCCCATGAACAAAGAAAAAATACTAACAAACTCATTCTTCATAAATTGAATGCAACAGAAGCACGTCAACCCATAGTATTGTTGTAACATACCACTGATTTATAACATGGCCAAATGACATAATTAGAATAAGTCTAGCCATACTATCAGATACACTTGAAGCTTCTAAGCTCTCATGGATCAAATGAACATAAGTCAAGCAACAACCATAAGTTGGGTGAACTCCAGGCAAACAATGGGCTTTCCAGTTGATTTGAAGCAAGCTTTCTAGCAATTTCAGCCATTCAAACCCAAATTCAAGCAAAATAATGATCCAGATATAACAAAAGATATCAAAGGACAATATGAATGCATCCAAGTAGAGATGAACATATAGACATGCAATACTAGAACATTCTCTAAACTTTTTCGAGAGGGAGGTTGTTCAAAGTGAGAGAGAGATTCTCCATTAGTGAGCAAGAAGAGAGGCCATCATAATGTTTTCTTTGCCTCTTAACGTTTTCTCTCCTTTTTTCTTTTTTCTGACAACCTTACAAAGAGAAAAACAATCTCTAAGATCTGAACTTCAAATTAACAAATCAACCTAAGTCTTTCTAAACTCCAACACTCCTCTCTTCAATCACCTATTAAAAGGTCCTGAATTTCTGTCTAACCCTCCCCTACAACAACGGTTCTCTTCAATTGTAAAAGTAAACAAGTCCTTGAATTTCTCTCTCTACTGCGACAAAATCACCCATCAATCTACAATCAACTAAGTCCTCGAGAAAAAAAAACATATTACCACCACACCAGGATATATTGATAAGCAAGGTCTTTCTCACTGTAACCAACTCTTCAACCAATCTAAAAACCCCATAAAATCAAAATTGATCCCAGTTCTTTCTCTCTATGAAAAGTTCAAACAATAGGCCTTTTTTCTCTATAATTGTTCTTCTTGCAGACTTTGCCCTTTCTTAGCCTTTTCTCTCTTTATCTCTCGATGCAAATGAAGAAAAGGTTTGAGACAGAAAGAGAATGGAAGAAAAAGGACAGAGGAGAGAGAAAGGGAAAGAAAATTTTCATCCATTCCATATTGAAGAAATGAGGACCATCTATTCCATTTTGAAGAAAATTTTCATGCAATCAATTATGAATCAAGGAAATAAATCCGATTATACAGGAACATTCTCAGCTTTGTTATGTACCGAACATCACCAAAAACCACATAATAAACAGAGGAAATCCAACCCACAATAAGAAAAAAAAAGAATATATCTTTATGGAGGGACACTAGCAAAAGATGAAAGTTCCATACTATAAACTAAAATTTCGTGGCTCCCATTTCAAGCCATGAAATAAAGAATTAATGTAGCTCTATCGCCAATACATAAATATATGAATCAAGGTTGCTCAATTTTAACATGCATTTGGAGTATTATGAATCAAGGAAATACACCAGATTATACAGGAACATTCTCAGCTTTATTATGTATAGAACATCACCAAAACCACCGAATAAATGGAAATCCAACCCACAATAAGAAAAAAGAGAAACAAATCTTTATAGAGGGACAGTAGCAAGAGATGAAAGTTCCATACTGTAAACTGAAATTTCGTGGCCACGAACTAAAGAACTAATGTAGCTCTCTAGAATCCGTAAACTATACATAAATATATGAATCAAGGCTGCTGATTTTTTACATGCATTTGGGGCGTTAAATATTATGAATCAATGAAATACATCGGATTATCTTGTTCACTTGTGTATGAAAAGAAATGGAGCAAGAAACCAGAAAACAGAATAAAATCCAGGAGATTTACAACAGAGAAAAACTAAAAAAATTTTACAGCAGATTTACATCAGAGAAAAATAAGAAAAGCCCTAAACTCTTTTACAGGGTTTCCTAAAAAAAATCCTGAGAGTATCCAGAAACCTAAATTAGTAAAAAAAAAGAAAAAGAAGGAAAATCTTCATATAACTCACTTATTGCGAGGTTGCTGCTCTTGCTCGCACAGGTTCCTCTAGTTCTTGCTCGCTCAAGGTGAGAGAGCGAGAGAGAACGGAGGGAAGGGAGGCTTGAAAAAGAGGGAGATTGTAAGAGGGGAAAGAAGAGCGCCTCGCTGGGGTTTTTGACGGGGAGAAAATAACACGCAAGTTTTCAGTGAAAACTCGGGCACACCCCACCCCATGCGAAGACAGTTTCTTAAGAGCAAAGTTAAAAGGGAAATGGGTGTTCCGATTTCACCCCTTTACTCCATTTCCAAAAACGTATAGTAAGTGTGAAAGTCGGGCACTTTCACACTGTTACAAAGTTATCAAACGCCTCCTTAAGGAGCGCCTTCTTCTCTCAAGTAGAAATCTCTAACTCTTCGCTGTTCTACCATGGATCTCCTTCAAATTCTTTCCCCCTCAATTTGAATCTATGATTTATTTGCCCTGGTTTTCTTCTTCTCTTTCTATATTGTTGGCTTCTGGTTCCTCTCGCTATAAACTAGGATTTTTTGGTATATCCTTTCGAAACCCTCACTCGTTCTTATCTCCCTCTTCTAATTCGAATCATGGATGCTCGTCTTTTGGCCTCCTGTTCTTCTCTCTCTCTCTCTTAATCCATTAGGGTTTCTTCTCTTCTCTTCCTTTTAGAAGCCCTTTTCTCTGCATCTGGTTTGGCCATTTTCATTCTCACTGCTCTGACAGGCTCTCTCTCCCGCTTGAAATGGCTTTCAAAATTGAAAAGCGAAAGAGGGTGGGGGAGCTGAAACCTGATTTAGTAAAGGACCCGGTCTCTATGCGGCCAAGCTCGCATACATAGATATCCGGGCTTCTTAATAAAAATTATTTTTGGGATGGATTTTAAGATTTAGTTTTTAAAAAAAATTATCACTTATATACCTTAATTTTAACAAAATTAAAAAAAAAATTTAAACTTTTCAAACACTCGTCCTTACTTTTTTTTTTTTCAATATTTATGATTTTTTGGACGAAAATACCTTTTACAATAATCTTTTTACTGTATCAAGCATTAAAGTAATGTAAAGCTTTTAAACCTCTTTACGATCATAAAAAATTCGTTGGAATTCCAATAGACTTTGGACCAATACAGTTTTTTTATGATTGTAAAAAAGTTTAAGAGCATTATCGTACTAACAGTACCATAATGAGAGAACCCTTGCGAAATTTTGGCCGGATTTTGCTCGTTATAGAGTTTTTTGGCCGGATTTTGAAGGGACTTTAACCGAATTTATTTGAGGTCTGGTTCATTTGTACCGAAATTTGGAGACATTTGGTTGGAATTTGAAACGGTTTTGCTGAAGAAGGTTTTTTTCTTCGTTGGATTTGAGGCGGAAATGGGATTCATTTCATTTGCAGGAAGAGTTTCCTTCTCTTCGAGTTTTACACTTGCTGCTTGGCAAAGGTTCCATGAATTCGGTGATGATGGTGGACCTGCTGTAAAGCTATTGGAACCCAAATATGCGCTCTTAAAAAATTATGTCGCATCTTCCCTTGGGTTTCAAGTGCCAGAAATTGAGATTAAGCATTTAATTGCAGCAAAACTTGCTTTGAAGGGAATTGTTGATTGCTCTATTGAATGTGCGTACCCAGAGTTGCCGCAATGGGAGGAGGAACAGAAAGTGTGGTGCAGAAGACTCCAAAGAGTCATTCGCTCTCTTGCAACTAAATCCCCCAAATCTCAACACAAGTATTAGGGTATTAAGAGTTTTGTACAGTCATAATGGTCCAAAGTCCATTAGAATTCTAGTGAAATTTGGACCATTTCGGTATTTTTATGACCGTAATAATCTTAAGAAGCATTTCGGTATTAAGAGTACCGTAATGAGTATTATTGTACTCAAAGTATTGTAATTCTATCGTGCCGTAAAGGGTATTTTCATCCAAAAAATTGTGAAAATTGAAAAAAAAAGATGTGAGCAAGGTTTTGGGAAGTTTGGGTTTTTTTTTTTCAATTTTGTTAAATTTAAGGTATATTATAGATAATTAACAAATTTTTAAGGGTATGTATTCTCTAACATGGAGAACATGAATACGAAAATATAAATAAATTTTAAAAATTAAAAATTAAAAATAATAATTTTAATAAGAAAACATTTGGACCAATGGTTTAAAAGACGAATCGGTGCCTCGAATTTCGGTGAATCGGCATTTCGGATTGGGAATCGGTTGGATTCAGCCTTTAAAAAAATTCAAAAATTTATTAAAAATCATTATAAATGTTGTCTTTTGAGAATTCAATAAAAAATGAGGATACTACATTAATAACTTTTATTTTTTTGCATCAATATACGAATATTGAGATGTTCTTTCCCTGTGTGAAGATTTTCATTAAACATTTATTAAAACATAACCAAATAAAATATTATAAATTGAAAGTAGAATTATTGGTTTGTATTTTATTATTTTATCATCATTTTATTATACAAATAAGAATAAATTTGAAATTTATCTCATAATATCATCTAATTTACAACTATAACAAAAATAATACATTGCATAATTTATAATGTAAATAAATTAATAAATAAAATATATGATTTGATTATCATTGTAATTAGTATAATTATTAATTATAATATTATAATAAACGTGATTCAAAAAACAAGGTTATGACCCTCACAAATAAATAAATCTAATGTATAATAATTAGTGTTGATAAAAATATAGAATTTACTAACATAAATTTGCAATCATTTTTTAATAAAATTAAGAAAATAAATAAAAAAAGTTCATATTTGCAATGTGAGATAATTGATAAAGCAACTTGAAATAAATTCTAAAGTGCTATGAGTTAGTGTTATTTTTCTCTATTAAAATATCCCGTAAAGTTTTTTTTTTTTAATGTTCAATAAACCAGTATTAATATTATTTTTTGCTTTTTTTAATATCATGTGATCTAGTACTATTTTTTTTAATCCCAATCAGCTAATAGAATATTAGTATTAGTCGTTTTTTTTCTTTTTTTTTTTTGATAAGTAAATTTAAATTTTTTTGGTGAAAGATAGGGGTGGTGGGCCATATCAACCAATTATTATTTTTAATAATTTTTCTCATTTTTTTCTCTCTTAAATTTTTTTCAAAAAATCACTATAGATATCCAAAAATAATGTTCTTTTAGTTTTTTAAAAGAAATTAGGAGTGATGCATTATGTACTTTCATTATTTTGGAAAAATAGGAGCATACTGAGATGTTGTTTTCCTGTCTGAATGTCTATATAATTATTAATTGTAATATAGTATTATAATATTATATCAAAACAATTTAAAAATATTAAAAAATACTTCCATATTATAATATTAAAAACTAATTTTCCACATAAATTAATATCACATCAAAGTATCAAACATTTTATTAATTCATTTTACTCATCCAAAATTATTACAACCTAACTAACTATAATAATATATATTGAAACTGAAATTGTTGATTTAATATTTTATAATCATTTTACTATACAAATAAAAATATAAAATGTCTTATAATATCATCTAATTTAAAAAATCTTATTTACAATTACATATAAAAAATATATATTACAAAAATTTTAATATAAATAAATTAATAAATAAAATACAATATTTGGTTATTAATAAATTAAAAAAATTTATAGTTGCAATGTGGGATAATTGATGAAGCAACTTGAAATAAATTCTAAAGTGGTATGGGTTAGTGTTAGTTTTTTCTCTTAAAATATCCTCTAAACTAATATTTTTTTAATATTCAATAGACTAGAATTAATATTATTTTTTAAATTTTTTTAATATCCTATGAGCTAGTACTAATTTTTTGATCTCAATTACTTAATTAATTATTAATCATATAATGAAAGAATCCCATGAGATAATAACCTAATAGAGTTTTTATGTTTGTTTTGCTAAATTTAAAGTTTTTTTGTTCAAAAATAGAGGTGGTGGTCACCCAATTATTATTTTTAATAATTTTTTCTTTTTTTTTTTGTATAATTTAATTGCCACCATTGAGCGTACACCCTTATTATTCATGACGGGTATACACCATCGCGCATACACCATCTCGCTCCAATTTGTTTTCCATGAAGTTTATTAGAAAGCAAAAGTGTATTAGATAATTGTCCCACATCAAAGTGATGTGGAAAGGAAAGGTCCTATAAAATAATCAAAGCAACCCAAGTCATTTGATAGTGTTGTTGCATGACCACATATAAGTGGGTTTGTGCATGATTACGTGGGGCTTTAATTCATGGGCCAGTGAATGTTAGCTCCAAGTCGGATGAGTGGACAACACCATTCTCACCAAAAGGTAGGGGCCCAAATCCTCACTGACTTAACAACACCATTCTCACCAAAAGATAGGGGCCCAAATCCTCACTGACTTAACCCTTACTTACCCATAAAGTCGGATGAGTGGACAACACTATTCTCACCCAAAGGATAGGGGCCCAAATCCCCATTGACTTAACCCTTACTTACCACCAAAGGGTAGGGGCCCAAATCCCCACTGACTTAACCCTTATTTACCCTTAAACCCTTACTTACCCTTAAAGGCGGATGAGTGGACAACATTACTCTCACCAACCCTTATTTACCCTTAAACCCTTACTTACCCTTAAAGGCGGATGAGTGGACAACACTATTCTCACCAAAGGGTAGGGGCCCAAATCCCCATTGACTTAACCCTTACTTACTGAGTGAGTATTGGGAACTAGATTGTGTTACAATCAATTGCCATAACCTCTATAGTAGTATAGTTTATAGGGGTGGCAACGGGTCCAGTCAAGTGAGACCCATACTCAAAAAAATGATATGGGATCGGGACTCGACTCAAAAATTAAGTATTTATGTATTTAACTATATTTAAATATATTTCATATATTGGGACCTAAAAATATTGTTGGACACAGACTCGGACCTGAATAGTGTTCAGATCCAAGATTTGAACCCAGAACCGACCCGTCAGGTCCAATTTTTTATACTTAGCCCCATATCGGTTTACCCTTCGAATGCCGATTCGGATCGGGTCTGGTCTGCGTCCATTCTCACCCCTATTAGTATATATCCTGGGTTTGGACTACCTCCCAAATGAAAAAAAGCTAGAGATGAACATCGCTCTGCAAAAGCAATGGCTGTGATCCAAATTTTTTTGTGGCTTCTATTGATCGATCCATTTTGAAATTGATCCTCCCGTTTTTGTAGGGCTTTCGGTTTTGCACCCCTACTCAACCGCTAGGCCAGATTATGTGGGGTGAATGTGGCCATTAACCCTTACTTACCCTTATGAGTGAGTGTTGGGAACTAGATTGTGTTACAATCAATTGCTATAACCTTTATAGTAGTATAGTTTACAAGGGTGGCAACGAGTCGGGTCAAGTGAGACCTCAACCCAAAAAAATGATATGGGATCGGGACCCGACTCAAAAATTAAATATTTATGCATTTAATTATATTTAAATATATTTCATATATTGGGACCTAAAAATATTGCCGGACACGGACTCGGGCCCAAATAGTGTTCGGGTCCAAGATTCGAACCCAGACCCAACCCGCCAGGTCCAATTTTTGGACCCATACTTAGCCCCATTTCGGTTTACCCCTCGGATGCGGGGTCGGGTCGGGTCTGGTCTGGTTCCATTCTCACCCCTATTAGTATATATCTTGGGTTTTTCCCCCTTGGTCACCTCCCAAATGAAAAAAGCTAGAGATGAACATCATTCCGCAAAAGCAATGGCTGCGATCCAATTTTTTTTGTGGCTTCTATTGATCGATCCATTTTGAAATTGATCCTCCAGTTTTTGTAGGGCTTTA